GTTCACACTTGTCATGTTTGGTTCGATTAAAACGAACCCTGGTGCGATTGCTCTGTTAGTGCGGTTCATTTGAGCATGTGTGAACGCTGCCATCCGAACCCTGGTGCGCACTAAACAAGCGGACCGAGACCGCTGAAAAGATGGGTCTTGGTCTGCTTCCAAACGAACTCTGGTGCGGTTCGAATGATATATGAATGCAGCATGGACCAAATACTTCTAAATGAACCAAAAACAGGAAGTAATGACAATATGCGACGCTATGCGGCATGATTTGACGACACGGTGTAACCAAAACAAAATGGGCAAACGTGGAGCAACGATGAGGTAAAGTGCCTTTTATGAGCTCCTTGTGAGTTTGCAGGTGGTGAAATAAAATTATATGTACACGCAAGAATGAGAGCTTAGTCCAGCAGACGGCATTAGGTGTGTTCAACATAAAGCCGCTTTAAGTCTAAAGCACCTTTAGTTTGGGGTGTTCGGTGAGTTCCGTCACGATATATACGTCATTCAAGCCAACCAATCAGGTTGTGAACGTATCACTATGCCTTTAGGTTCACTGTCTTTAGGTTCGCTGTCAAAAATGCCAATGTGAACGCTAAGCGGACCAGGACCAAATGTATCATTTTCCTTTTTGGTCCGGACCAAATGAAACAAACGAACCGAACTACAAGTGTGAACACACCCTAAATGTATCCTTGATTTCACCTTCCTCAATTATAATATGGTAAAATGTTGAATAAGCATGTCATCAAAAATTACATACTGCACAATAAATATGCCACTATACTTTGTTAAATTACCCTTTATACTTTAAAAAAATAAAATAAAATACAACAACTACTACTACAAATAATAAACCAGCTGAGTGAATGACTGTAGATTTTTGTAATATCTCTCTCTTCTCATTACTCCTAATCATTTCATCAGTCTCTCTTTTTTTTCCCTCTTTGGGAAAGTTGTGAAAATGCTATTGTGTATTTATTTCTTTTGCTACTGGAGCAAATGGAAATGCAAAGTTATTCTTACTGTAGTCTACCATTCATCCCTATAGAGGTTCACTTCTGCTTCTGACAACCCTGGAAATCTGAAACGGCTCCATATTAGGACTGTGCAACGGAGAAGCCATTATAATCTGTAACTGTAGTGATAAGATCATCTGTATCATGCTTAAACCGGAAGAATGTCAAAACTAAATGAAAAGTCTGTTTTTAGATTAGATTAGTTTAATATTACTCTTTACAAATTTCCAAAATTACAAAAAATACATGCAGAATAAAAGGAGAGTGTCATCCCATCTGAACTTAAAATAATGTGCATTTTCAGTGATAAAGTTCACACTTTTAGTCATATTGCCACACACTCACCATAGATGGTCATTAAAATATTATTTTATCTTTCTGGTGTGTGTGTGTGTGTGTGTGTGTGTGTGTGTGATCCTGGAATGTTGTGATAACAGTAGGGTAAGATGAGGCAAGATGACCTTCATTTCCACTCATGACCATAGATGACAAAAAATCTCATCTCAGCACTTTCCATGAATGACTACACTATTTTTAATGTCAACATTTGTGAGATTTATTCAGTCAGAACAGTTTTGAGGTTAATTGATCTGATCTATGACATTGATATATTATGTTGAGTATCAAAGGTTTTTGTGTCTGTTTGACAGATTTGTGGACACATTCATGTTGTTAGATTTGTTTTTATTTTGAAGTAAAAAGTTTAAATTAAACTTTTGGGGTACAATGAGCCCCCAGTACTGGCACAGAAGGACCCTAGTGGTGTATTGTTACTATTTTTTATACTTATTGTGATTAATGGGGTTTATTATTCAATATCTCCATGAATTAGATGTACATTTCAGACATGTTCGCATCTTCGTTCACTAGAACCTAATTAAGAGAAATCATTAAATTAGCATTCATAGTGTTGCTGTTATAACATATCTTGATTAAATATGTAAATATTGATATGCCTGTTTATGAGTTGTAGAATAATGTTGCCTTTCAGATTAATTTATTTTACTGAGATTCTGCTTTGTCTGTCGTCGGTTATTCAATTATTCGACAGCTGATTCAATATTTTACATTGATGACAAATTATTGTTTTTTTAATATTTCAAAAATAATTATAAGAATTGTATCATAAGTCATTTATACATTGTTCAAAAGAACTGATTTATTCAGGAACGAAGCAAGTGACTCATGATTTTGTGAATGGGCAATTGAATCATTCACTCAGACAATTTGTTCTAAATGCGGATTCATTCAGGAACCAAACACCTGTGTAGCTCAGAAA